CACCCACACACACACACACACACACACACACACACACACACACACACACACACACACACACACACACACACACACACACACACACACACACACACACACACACACACACACAGCCGTGACTTATTCACAACACAGCATGGCCTCTCATAACTCAAAGCGTAAATGCAAACCTGCCAACCAATCAGAATAGAGTATTCAGACAATTTTCCCATGTGCTTGAATCCCAGTTAGTTGCAGAGCATTCAGATCCATAAAACAATGCAGAACAAGCGCAAGCAGTTTGAAAACAATACATCTTTATTGTTACATCTAATATGTAACTAATTGTAGCCGTGACTTATTCACAACACAGCATGGCCTCTCATAACTCAAAGCGTAAATGCAAACCTGCCAACCAATCAGAATAGAGTATTCAGACAATTTTCCCATGTGCTTGAATCCCAGTTAGTTGCAGAGCATTCAGATCCATAAAACAATGCAGAACAAGCGCAAGCAGTTTGAAAACAATACATCTTTATTGTTACATCTAATATGTAACTAATTGTATAACAGAAACACAGTAATATTGTAATTAATAGACCGTCTCAGATGTGGCAAATTAAATAACTTTTAAAACAGGGCCATTGAATGTCTACCGCAATCACATTGTGCCTGCAATGTTTAGTGAATAAAGCTCTGGGGACCTACAGCTCGGAGGTCACTAAACATATGCAATCTGGACATTAATACAAATAACACCGATAATAAATAACATTCTTCTTCATTTGTCGTCACATTTTCCCTTTTGCATTGACTTTGCAATTACATAATTTTTTTGATTGTCCTATAACCAGAAAGCTTCAAATCTGTGCATAGATGTCAACAATGAATAAAGCATAAATCAATTACCCTTTAAGGTGAATAAAACACATTTAGTTGATAAATGCCACATGAAGAAGTTTGAGTTCCTCTTTGATTACCTAAATGACCTTCAAATCTATAATTCAGGATAATCAAAGGCATTTAGAAGAGTAAACGTGAACTTGTAAACCAAAAAGAAATTTCTCAATTTAGGAAGAAACTTCTATGGTTTGCCAACTTTGAGTTTGTTAAAAGTGATGAAATCCAATAATTGACATTTCAATGAACAAATGAAAGCCATGCATTTTGCAAAAAGCTGCCAAAATTCTTATTTGCATATGAGGATGGTTTAGCAGATTTACTGTGCATAATGTGGCCCCGTAAACACAGGCAAAAGTCATTAAACTCTATTGACCAATTTTCCAAACATGCTGTATATGTACATTTTAATGTTAAAATAAATCCCTTTCCCAGATGAACCCAACTAGTAAACACCCGAAATGTCAGCTATGTCAGTTAAACATCACCACGTCACATTATCCAGCAAGCTCTGTCTAAGGCTTTATACTTGTATGCCAGTTGTTTTTACAACATCTGTGAGTGGGGGGAGGGGCTATCTGTTTGCTCAACCAACGGTGGAAGGGGTTCATGAAACCTTTTTGAAAACTGTCATTATTTCTGCAGTCATGTTTGGTGGCACTAGTGGCACAGAAATTATACACTATTAGGATTTGATGTATTTTCCCCTTTTCCATTATAATGAGATCCAGATTTTTTTGACACTTAATCACATATTAACTGCAATTAAATGAAAAGGTATGCGTGTACATTTATATTAAATGTAATTAGCCAAAATTTAGAGTGCTTTTTTGACCCACTTAAAGGGTTAGTTCACACAAAAATAAAAATTCTGTCATTAATTACTCGCCCTCATGTCGTTCCAAACCAAAGTGACATCAGGGGTTCAACTGTAATTTTACGAAGCTACGAGAAT